ATAACTGCTGCAAAACAATACCTGCAGGAGCACAGCAGAAAGTGCTGATCAATAATTGCCTAAACCTCCTCAGTTTAGATGACTGCAAATGTCTGCATGTCTCAAGCAATAGCCTTACTCTAGAAATTATCTCCAACATATTATCATCAATTATAAGAGAAATAATGAGACAATTGTTCAAAATGGTAACAGTGTATCTCCTCTCTGAGACTGTCCAATCTCATGCACAACAATTAAAAGACTAAGAGAAGAGAAGCACTCATAGGATCTGAAAAGAGCTCAAAACTTTCCTACGTGTAGATGAAATATTCTATCTTTCAAATATGTAACGCAATGGACTATCCAGTAGAGATTGGTAAAACTAAATATTGTCACAGGAAAGAGCTTGAGCTTGTTTGTGAGTTTATGAAATGGCCCTTCAGAGAACTGATATTATGTATTCATTATGTATTACATGTTTTTAAGCCAAGTGTGGTGGCTACTGTCATAAATCCAGACTCCTGGGGATAGCCATGGGAGAGATCAGATCCAACCTTCCCTGGGAATTCCCCTCCTCACTCCTTCTCTTCAACTCTGCCCTGGTGCAGGGACTTTGTGTCACCTTGGGGGTGACCACATGAAGTCACTTCTGGAGGTGTGCATGTCTCCAGTCCTCTCTTCCGGATGGACATTGGACAGGCATGATAGCCTTCTTTCTAGTCTTGTCTGCAGTCCTCTGTGAACCCGGAGCCTGAATCTCTATCCTGGCTGACTATGAATATTAATGAACCCTCTACCAAGCCCCCTTTTTTGTCTGCCCTGTCTCACTTCTGCAAGACTGGCTGAAGGAGCTTCCTTTTTCTGGGATCTCGGTTTCCAGGTCATCCTCCCTTTTCCTTGCTGTTCCCTACACCAAGCCCAGCAATAAGCTAAAAATGATGAGAGTGCTAAGAGTGGCCATAACAGTGTTCAATAGCTCACAATGACCTTTGAGACCTGAGAAATCCAAAGACAATGGCAATAGAAGTAGATAGTTAGCCTATTTTATTCAATAGTGGTTAAGACAAGTTGTGTTTGACAAACGCAAGAAACAAATGCCAAAGATGATCCTATAGTGAAAGCCCAGCTTCTCTGAGCTTGCAGAAATCTGTTTCTCTGATGAACAAATGCTGACGAATATGCATATGCTTCAAAATTAAAAAGAGTGAGCCAAAACCTGAAAACTCTTCTCTCTCTAACTCATCATTTGGACTTACTAAAGTTCACCAGTAAACGATTACACACTCAAGCTGCTTCATTTTCTCCAGGGAGGATTTCACTCTCTTCTCTAACCCTACCAAAAAGAATAGCTTAACTTCTTAGCATTCTTTTTGCCTGAGGCACAGAAAGCAGAATCATTTTATGATGCAAGAAAAAAAAGTTCAGTTTATCCTGGGGGTATATTCCTGGCTCTTCTTCATAACTACTCCACCTAGGAGTAGTGTGGTATGTTTAACTAAATAATCTTATGGTAGATTTCAAGTGCAATTTGTCACCACCAAGTAAGCAGAATTAACTGAATAAAAAAGTCATAGTGAACTGAGGAAGGGTCTGTTTGAATTATAAGCAAAGAAGAAGCAGACCTCAATGACTTAGTTATACATTCTGCAAGACAATTAAATATATATGTATACATATGATCCAGGAAAAGAATTTCCCAGTGCTATTATCTTTGCATATAGCTGGGATTTTATATAAAATGGTCGGTACTCTCTCAGAGGTTGAATGCATATAGTATATATAAAAGGCAAAATTGGCCTTTCCTCAGGGGTTGTTCAAGGTCTTGAGAGTTGCAAAGACTGCTGAATGGAAAACACAATTCCACAAGGGGAATGGAATTGCCTAACAATGACTCCTAGCTGAATCAAGTCCACCCTAAAATTGCAATCCTGGTGCAATTCTGCCAGTGGGTTTTCTCACCAGAAGCATCCCATCAGTGAAGCAAATTTAGACTTTCCCTGTTCTGCTATACTATGGGAATGAAATAAAAAATTCTACTGGCACTAGGCACCATATTCTTCATAGCATCACTTAGTAAGCAGCCTCATAACTTTTAGCACTGCATTTCTTCTTCAATGTAACGTGTCCCTCATAAATGCACATCCCTTCTCTTTCTCCTAGCAGGCCATGGTTACCTGGATGGGTACCTTCACTGGTTCAGCAGATCTAATCACAGATCCTTGTTCCTCCTGACAACATTTCCCTGAAGTCTAAAAGAGATTACTGAAGTGACATAAAATTTCTTTTACTAAATCCTAAGGAAAATTTTAGGTCTGAACAAAATCTGGTGTCCCAGGTTTTTAAAGAGTTTAAGTTGTTGACTGCTGTGACAACCTTCCTATCCCCCTCAGTCCACAAATCTGTGACGTGGGTGCTTTGCACTGCTAAAGAGCAAGACAAATGGTTTCTCGAGATATTTTCACTGCCTCAAAATCCTCTTGAAGACCTGAAAGCTTACTGCCAATTTATCAGGATGCAAAACAGATACCATCTGCCTAATCTTTTTATTTTTTTCCTTTCCTTTCAGGTAATCGGTCTGTACCATGGTGACACGTTTTTCTGCCCTCTAGTAATAGCCCCTGGAAAGGGGACCTCTTGGTGCACCAGCATCCCAAGAGTATTGCTCATTTATTTCTCAGTTTGGAGGTGTAATCATCTAGCCTCTGCTTCTTGACCCTTCTGGTCAGGGTAATATCTTTATAGGTTTTTCTTTAGGTAATTGAAAGATATTTTCCTTTTCACCTATCCTTTCTACAATATGTTTTAAAATAAATAAACAAAAAAGACTAGAAGACTTTACCACATGATGTTACCATTTTATCAGAATCTAGGACAAAAATCAGTAGAATATAGAAAATTCAACGGAAAATTTGCATTTTCCATTGTATCCTATTACACATAAGTATCTGGAATTGAAAGAGAGTTAAAAGTTGTCAGATAGAGCTCGAAATATTTTGTAATACTGTGGATCAAAGTTTGCTAAACTTCTACAAAGTGAGGCATGGAAATCAAGCAAATATAAAGCTAAAGCTATGCCATGAGCCTTAGGGTCTATGTTATAAATTTTAGCACTTTTTTTATGTTGTCTCTTTAAATAATATTGAGAGATTTTGATCAGGCTAATCTTTTAAAAATAATGTTCTCCTGTCCAGCTTTTATATATTCTCATAATTCTAATGTTCATTCATGTTTATTGGGCTGAAAGAAAACTGTCTCCTCTTTGATCGTTTAGAGGCACTCTGTCATAATTGTAACTAGCTCCTAGAAAATACAAAAAAAGTTACAGAAATGGACTTGACAAAGACAAAAGTGAAGGAATGATTTGAGCTTGCCAAACCTGTGGATAAGAAAGTACAAATAAATCTGATTTTTTAATCAGTAGGAAATTAGAATGAGTGAGCTCTTGAGCTCCCATGGGAGACTGGGTAGATAGCCTTGTGATCAGAAAGGGATGTTTTCTCTACAGTAGATTGATAGTCTGCCTTCTAGGCTTCTCCACTTAGAATAAAAGAAGAGTGCTGAATGCAGAAGGGGGAAACTTAATGAATGCTGTGTGACTTTCACTGAGGTGTTTTTTATATAGTGAAGCAAGAGTTTGTCTGATAGAAATGCATGGATTATTTTTCCCAGAATCATAAAGATGAAATGACAGAACCAGAGATGGAGGATATTCCTTTATTTTAAAAGCTGGCTATGACAATGAAAAGGATCTTAATGATTACGCTTAGAAAATGTGAAAGGAAAAACTCATGTTGGCTATTTGTATGTTATTCAGAAGGTTTTACTTATGCCTTCCACACACCATGGTAGGTAGGTAGGTAGGTAGGTAGGTAGGTAGGTAGGTAGGTAGGTCAATCATAAATTATTTTTTCATATATGTGTTGATTTCAGTTTTTCTCATTATTCTATTCTCCTTTGCATTTTCTATACATTAAAAAAAAACAAATAAAACCACTAAGAAACAATGCATAACAATGTTTAATGACTGCTGGACTCTTATGTCATGATTTTAGCCACTTTAATTACCTTAATTTTATCAAATTCAACCAAGTGTTGGTTGGATTGATCTACATTTGTGCAATTGTCATCAGCATGAAAACTATGGTAAGAAACATCAATATTCTACAACTGTGTCTACCTGGTTCCTTCCTTTTCTCCTTCCCATTCTCCTCCCCTCCCCCTCCCCCTTCCTTTCTGCCCCTTTCCTTCTCTTTCTATCCCTTTCCTTTTTCTCTTTCCTTCCCCATCCCCTTTTCTTTCCCTTTCCTCCCTCAAAACCTTTTTTAATAAGATGATTTTCCAAAATTTGATGAAGAATATACTTAGTAATTTTTTCCCTTTCTGTTAGCTGCATGAATTTAAGGCCTGAAGTAAAATTTTACATTACTGACAAAAATTGAAATTATTCACTATGATTTAGACCAACCTCCCAGTTACAAAATTATTTTCATTTCCTTTTACCCTCTTTTTTGCAAGCTGCAGAAATCAATCTAACAATATAGCTGGAAGAAAAAAAAAAAAATATTAAAAAGGCACTTTCATTTTTATAACATTTCTTAGTGTTATCCCATCTTACATTTTCTATAAGATAAGTGAGGTTGTATTATGGATCAGTGGACCATCACTCCAGGCTAGCCATCTTGTATGATCAGAGATAATTTAAAGATAATATATTTCTATATTCTCCTTTCAGTTTACAGCTCTTCAACCACGCAAAGCGGTTTGCTAGCAAATAAATAAATAAATCCATCCTTGACACATTTATAGGCTGGTGACGGCGAGGGGAAAAATTGTTTAAAGTCCAAGAAATCAGACTATTACGTGGGGAGCGGGGAAGAGGGGGAAGGGGTGCGCAGCACTTTAAGCAGAGCGTGTTGGAAGGAGCGGAGGGGGGCCGTGTCCATCCTAGCGCTGTGCTCTGCTGCCACCTTGGCCGCGGCGCGGGACGTGCA